AATATATAAATGGACAAAAGAAAGGTGGGATTGGGAGTTGGTAGGTCTAAGTTACTACGTTAGGCATCGGTGCCTGGCAACTGTTCAGTCTCCGAAGGTATAATTTTGTTAGCTATTTAAATGATTTTAACCTTGTCTTTATTGCTGTTCTTTATTGTGAATGTATGTGTACACTGTTTTGTTAATTAAATAACGTGCTTGTTTTGGTTGTTAAAATATATTTCATAAATTTATTAGTGACATTATATTAGTTACTTTAAAGCTTCTTCGTTTTTTGTAAGGATTTTATCTGTACAGATATGCCACTCTCGGGTGATACTGTAACATTGTAATCAATATCAGGGCTTCTTAACCTTTCCTCTGTCCTGACCTCCTTGGATAATGGATTAACCAAGATGCAGTTGCATGTGCATACTGTACATAGTGTTAACATATTCCATTATCACATGATGAATATCTTCTTTGTCCCACATGTCTCACTGTTTGGAGAAGGAAGGAAGCTTTTGACATTAGATATTAGATAGAGATATTCGCACTTGTTCTTCTTCTTAAGCTTTTCAGGCCAGCTTATGCAAGTAGATTGGGTTGAATAGTTTTATACCATAGTATTTTTTAAATTTATTTATTGTTTTAAAATTACTTAATTAATATTTACTTACACTGCTTACACTCCAGACGTATGTGGTCATATTTTGCACCTCTGGTGAAACATTGACGTAACTTATATTTGCAGCAATTTACAAAATATCTTAAATAGTTTTTTTGTTTTTAAGGTTGTCAAGAAAGAAGAGCTCTTAAATGTAATATACTTATAACAAGCAATGCGCCCTCTATAGATTATATTACGTCTTAGTTATGTTGTGAATGAGTTTCAAAGTAATTTTCAAATGTTTTGCAGTTAAGTCTGTGCCACAATCCAATATTCACTGCAATTTGGAATATCACTTTTCCAATAATAAATTACATTATGTAAAATCAAAGAATTAGATCATATACACATCTTATAAAAAGGGTACTCGATCAGAGTCGGCTGAGTATTTATATTTTAACGTATTTAAACCAAAAACTCGGAGCAATTTTCATTAACTCCTATATAAAATTTTACCACGGTAGATAATAAGTCGGTAGATTTATTAAATCTTATGTATACATGGTAGTTTTGAAATCTTTTATAATTAAAATGATTACACAAAAAGGTTATTTTAATTAAAAACTGTTTTAAATTGACTACTTAGACAATAATACCTCTAATTAGGGAATTATCTTATACTATGATTGTCAGAACACTGCCAAGAACACTCGAACCAGAACCAATTTATAAAAGTTCATTTCCCAAATTGGTCCTACCAGGAAATGAACCCGGAACCTCCTATCATCTAGCGCACACAGTAGTATGTGCACTGAATAATACTTCATGATGATATTCTATAAATATTTAAATAAAAAGAAATTGTCACCAAAATTGTGTACAAAAAATTACCTGAAAGTTACCCATGTTTTCTTTTTGTAACTTAATATACAATCCATTTAAAAACTACTGCGAGAACATTAATTAATTTTTCGACAGAAAAAAACTATTTCTGGTGAAAGTTGTTGAACTGCATGGACACCTTGTATCTCAAAATGTGCATATTCTCTTTCATGACAACCTGTATAGTTGTTGCTTGCGATAGAAAAAACTTGTAGTCTTAATATCTTTGAAAAATAAATTTAAATAATAATTTCAATGGTTTCGCAATTCCTTTGATGTGAAACAGCATTATTCGAGCCACATTCCACGGTCCAATAGTTATAGTTCTTTTCGTAATAATAATATTAACATATATCAATTTGGCAATCATTAGACAGGCTTACCTGTATCCATAATGAGAATCCGTTATAGTAATTTTGATCAAGACCAGTCAGACAGGTTTCTAATTCAGGCCCGTCTTAAGTCATATGCGGGATCCCCAAGACCCTGGCCACGGTGCACTTTGGAATAAAAAAGCTATATTAAAGTGCTACACCAGCTATTCAATTCACTGTTGGGTTGGATCTCTCTAAAAATAAATTAATATGGAGGTGACGATGGCTTCCATGCGGGGCCCCTTTCATGTTGGAGGCTTTGATGAGGGCACTGGCTGTCGTTTCAACATAATTTGCTGCTCGTGCGCCGATACACGTGTTCGCCCTCACGTGATTGGTTGTTCACATCGTTGTAGTTGACATTGACACGATTTCGTGATTTTAAAGCGGTGAAAGATTTTATAAGTTTCTACCTTAACTAAGAGAACAGATTTTTTGCTTTCTATATTTATTTATTTCAAGTAAAGAGTTGAACAAAATTATTATTATTATGTTTTTGAATCTGTAGTGTCAAAATATGCCTAAGTGTACTTTCAGGTCCGTAGACCTGTTCTAGATGCATGGAGAAGTCTCTGGTAACGAAATTGTGTTAGTTAATATTTAACTAGTCAGGTCATTGACTTACAATTATATGGACGTCGGGTCCGCGCTAAAAAGTGTCCGCACTTGTAAGGCGCTAAAATCGTATACAGAGCGCGACACTCCGCTTTAGTCTTCATTTGTTCTACGGACAGCGCGACACTGCGATGACATAACAATTTAAATTTCGAATAGGTTGACTTGGGACATTTTTTTCGTGGTTTTTGTATTAGACCCGTCGTCCATTTATTTGTAAGTCAATGAGTCAGGTCAAAATTATAATCTGCATTATGTATTTAAGCTACATTTTATTACAATAACCTTATTAGGATTTTCATATAATTAAGCTTGATTTTGTTTATATTTCGTAAGAACGAAAAAAAGTAAACAAAATGAAGCAAAGAAAAAAGCATGGCCTGTAATCTGACCCGGTTAATGGATGCTTGCGTACAACTACATTAGATTTAAATTGTGCAATTGTAAACCACTTTTTATTTTGTGTAACAAAATATTGTAAAATAAAATAAAACATTGTAATGAAACATATTTTTACATATATGAAAACCCTAATTAGGTTAGACTTTCAGACTTTCTATCAAAATAAATTCAACAAAATCTTTCTCTGGGTGATCAACAGTAAACACAAAACACATATATATTTTTTTTATATAAAAACACATTTTTCTATTCCGTAATCCTCATTACTAACCCACAGTAATAAATAAGCGACACTTACTATTGTAAAGTACACATATTTTTCAATAAATCTAGTCAATTATGTTATTTTTGTACGCTGTGGATATGGTTTTTTATATTATGGTGGCCACGATCTTTAAACATTTTGAGATTCATTGGTAAATCATTATAATATCTGGAATCTACAAAAAACTTCGCTCTCTATATTGTCTATATAGGAAAGCACAGCGGTCCATCTTTCAGCCAGCTTTCATGTGATCATAAGCAAAAAGTGCTTTTATCACATGAAAACCATACAAATAATACGAACTACATGAAATAAATTGCGTATACATGTGAGATTTTGGTTATTCCTCTCCTATTTAATGCATAAATAACTACTGACTCATTTCGTTCATACAATCTTTAAACTCCTTTCCTCAAAAGTTGTCATTGTGCAGATGTGGCTTTGTTAAGAGTCTGTATATCTCAAACGGCTTTTGTTAGTGAAAATGTTAAATCCATCGCATCAAAAATATATAATAAAATTAAGGATATGCACTCATTACTTTATGTTGTGAAAAAAAGATTCCTGAAAATGTTCACGGTGGTACAAACACAAACTTACCTCGAAAACCACTGTATTCAATACCTAGGTACCTTACTAATGTTTTTTTTATACCATCTAAACTAAATAGAACACGTTTAGGTACTATACCACATACATTTTTCAAAAGGCTATAATTTCGTTTGTAAAAAATAATAATATAATTTTATTTGTAACTTTAAATCAATTACTGTATATCATATCATAGGTAGAAGGATTAACTATATGCTCGACAGTTTCAAAAAACAACAATTTATTTTTTTGTATGCATGCTGTGATGTTCCTTAACTATAGAAGCACTTAGTTTTAAGCGAATATGTTACAATTTAATTTATAGTGCATTGCTATGTGGAATATCCTGAATAAATAAATAAATAAATAAATAAATAAATAAATATAAATTCTGAAATAAAGCCAGTGTATCTACCGCTCGACATAAGCAAAACTAACCGAATTAGCACGGGAAAAATTTGATTCGAGATGAGGTTGTATCGATTGATAACGTAAAATTCAAGTCGTGTAAAAGTAACAATCTATTATATTGCTTGACGAATAGCATGAGTTTCTTGCCTAGTTTATTTCTTCAATACTCAACTTTGCAATTTCATTTAAATTAAACAACTCTTCTTCGTGGCGCGGCCCAGAATTTCTCTTTCCCAGAAACTCTGAGCGCGTCACTTGTATCCTCCATTGAATCCACAAGCATGCACGTGTTGTGGCGCGGGCTGTGAGGTGGACCAACCATCCGATAATCCTTCTACACTCCGGCTAACCTGGATCCAAAGTAGAGACGTACGCCGCCGTGTCGCCGCTGAATTTAATAATTTTATTTAAAAGACCGGCGTAAAAGCGCCTCAGTCGCAAACGTAGTCGATATAAGCAAGTATCGGTGTTTGTTAATTATTTACTATGTTTCAATTATGTACTATGTTATGTATTGTCTATTAAAAAGAGTTATGTTCCTACGTATATCCTTTTCATACTAGATCCATATGGGGTGGTACACTACTTGTCCCGTTAGATGGCGCATGCATGCGGGTGCTGTTGGGCTGTCAAACTCAATTTGACAAACAAAATTTCAAGTGAAAGTGTAAAATAACGTTGGAAATAAATATTGTATTTTTTTATTTCACGCCAACCACATCGCCGCTGAAAAACGAAAAACCATTAGACATCGGCGAACATCTCTAATTTAAAGTCGATGTAAAACTTTCCAAATGGACCATGGCAATTCAAGTCCAGGAGGAAGACGCTCAGAAAGTTGGACAAAGGTAACAGAAAACAAGCGTTCGAGTGCTTTACATTGAGATTTATTTTGTACAATGAATTTGTACAATTAATTACATTTACACTTACATTACAAAACATACACACACCCTATAACGTAATAGTGTAGCATTTTTACACAATCGAGCATTTTCAGATAATCTATATACCGCTCTACGTAAAAAATCGAAACTATAATTAAAAACCTAGTACAGTGACAAATTAATTCCAGCAAATTTGACGAATTCTTAAATCACCGGGTCTCAAGCTAGAAAATCGTTTTACTATGATCAACGGAACTCACTCCGGGACACTTAGGAGTGGTCGCTCCACATGATTAATATCACTACTTAAAATTGTTGCTGCAATTGTGTCTCGGATACAAACAGCTTACAGTATCACCTTCAACTACATGTATATTTCAATCATTCTTTTCTCAGTATACCTTCTAAGATGATGGAAATTTAAACAATAAATTAGCATTTTGAGGCTAAAAGAAATACGAAATTATGTTACAAAAAAACATAGAACACTACCACATAATTCATCTAACAATTATCACAAATATAAAAATGCTTAATACAAAAACTTGCAAAATATTAAAGAAAATAGTAAATAGAAATACTCAAAATGTAACAGTAGAGTGGTAGATGCATAGTATAATGAAAGGAGTAGTGTAACTTATATGCCAATTTTATTTTTTGGTCATTTTCTGTTTTTAATCTAAACAGCCTTATCTTATTTACTAACATTACGCCGCCCGAATTTTGTGAAAAAAAATAAAGAAACAAACAAAAACAAAATAAAAACATAGATGGCAAAAAAATTAAGTTTGTAGTGTTCATTGAAGTGACCAAGTGACGGGTCGATCAAGTCGTGCGTCTGGTGGTAAGCGACACGCCTGTTTATAACAGTTATGCTCACGTTACTTGTTGGCGGCTTAAATAGGTAAGTTGGCAGTCTAAGGTGGCTACTAATACAAGTAATATAATAATGTGACAACCCTACGCTCCGAGAGACGTGTACCTATTATCGCGCCGAAGTTACACTACTGACCTTATTATACTATGGTAGATATATGTGACGATGCGCAGGCAAATTACCTTAGCTTAAATTTTTATATGAAGTCAATTCATGCACCAAATTAATGATTGCATATTAAGTAAGTAGCTACTTATTGTGGTACTGACCGTAAGTTATCTTTGCGTGCGTCTAAACATACATACAAGTATTCCAGAATATTCGCTAATCTAGAGCTAGTGACCTAAAGGATCCAGGAAGGTCTTTCACTTTGTCGGTACGCTCGTCCCTGCAGTTGCTAGGGCGCAGACCTTCGTCCACCTCCCACCGTTTGTCATTTTTGATGAACCAGTCCCTGTAAACGCCAGAATACGTAAGTGATGAGAGGGTGTAGCTTGTAGCAGTGGGTAAAGGTGATTCCTGTGACCATAAGCACTTACTGACTTTACACTAAGTTATGTACATTTGTGAATGTTGGAAAACGTGTACAGTCCCCAACCAGCATCGGGCCAGCGCCAGCGTGGTTGACTACGTCAAAACTTTCTTTCTTAGAGGAGACCCGAGACTAACAGAATGGGTGATAACGTAATGACGATGAGAAACTGTTCTGACGTCCATGCTGGCTGAAAACTCCGTAAACTTACGTGTCACAACTTTAATTAGTACTTAGTGGAAAACGCAGTATAGCCACTCCCACGAATAACGAAGGGCCTATATTACAAGCTAGAAACAAATTTAAAGAAATTTAGATTTTCCGAAAACTTTTTCGGCTGTTATTGAACAGACTTTGTTTCATTTGTTCGGAAACACGTTACGATTTTTTTCATTACGTCATGTAACGGTTCATTTTTTTGACACATTGACATCGTTTCCCAATTTTCATTTCTCCTACATTCCGTTTGACTAGTGCTTGAATATACTTTTGTATGCAGCAAAGAGAATTTAAGCACTACGTTTAGTATGCAGAAACATCTTACTATAGTCAGATGTTTCTGCGTACAAAAGTATATTTGAAAAAAAAAAAATATAATTCTGAACATATTATGACGAAACAAAATCACAGTATTAAAACTTTTTACTTTACATATGTACAGAAAAATCTATTAAATCTATAATTTTTGAGTTTCCTAAAGACCTTCAAGTTTAAATAATAAAATAAATAAATAAATGTTTATTTCAGTAATACAATTAACTTTACATTAACAGTGGATGGTACCCCTTTTAAGCTTATCAAGCCTGTGTCAGTAGTCAAAGTCAAAGATCATTTATTCCATACATTGACTTACAATAAAAGTCAATGATTCCATAGGTAAAATAAATTTACACTTCAAAACGTCACATTTACATTCGTTCACTACGCTGACTACCCTAAGAAGAACGAGCAAGAAACTCTAGGGATTGCTCTTTTCAAATAAACTTTAATGCTATGGAATACACTTTGAATCAAATTTGTGTGGATTCTGGAGCCGTGTCGTCTTTCCGTACATCTTTATCTAACACGTAGTCTTCAATTTTGTAATATGACTTTTCGATCAAAATATTTTTAATCTAGTTTTTAAACTTAGGAAATGAAAATCCTAATATAGCATCGGAATCTTATTGTAAAAACCTATACTGTTCCCCATAAAAGAGTCGTTTACCTTGGTTAAACGAAATAGTGGTACCATGAGTTTGGACTTAGCTCTAAGGTTAATATTATGGATATCTTCTTTCTTATTGAAATTATGCATATTTTTACGGGCATATAAAATATTTGAGTAAATGTACTGTGATGCCACAATCATGATACCAGTCTCCTTAAACTTTTCTCTGGGAGAAACCCGAGAGCCTAGACGGTACACAGAACGAATCGCTCGTTTTTTCAATACAAACATGGTTAGAATATCTGCGAATATAATATCTGTATACAGAATTTTACTATAGTAATCTTAGAACAACTAGTTTTGTAATTGCTCAGAATTAACGTAGCTAGTTTTGCAACAAAACAATGATAAGATGTTATATTTGTTATAGTTGTGTTAGATGGTATGTAGTTTTCCTTTATACTCTTATCCACGTCTTAAACCATCAATGTATCTTCATTATCTGTCATTTCTTGTTCTTCGGTCAGATATGATTGTACTTGCCCGATAATACGAGTATACAATTCAAGAATTTCGTATAACGTATAAACCAATCTTCTCCGAAATGTTTGACGATCAAGTTTTTAATACGTGAACACGAGGGACCTTTCGGATGACAAAATAATAAATACCAAACAAAATACCGGATTTTGCACGAGTTTATACTCACTAAAGCAGCATTTTTAGGTTGACGATAAAATGGCAACTTTTGAAAGTTAGTTAAAACTAAGAACGATAGCGACTTTTGTAAAAGTAGTCAACATTTGACACTGATTTGTTCAGAAATACCAAGTGTTGGCACGTATTGTTGAAGTATTTGAAATTATTTAAAATACCATTACCATTTCATGCCAATAAGTAAAAATCAATAAAAATGTCACATAGCGCTGTTTGAAAGTGGACTACTCAATTATTGAAAGTGGAAGTTAGCGATAAAGATACCAACCTCTTTGACTCAATCCTCTTAATCCATAGTCGTTTGATCTGCTCGATGGAGCCCGCCTGTCCGCCATACTCGTTCGGTAACAATTCTTGAGGGATGTCCTTGTACAACGTTGTTGAATTCGGCTCATGGAATTTTATCTGTAAATGAAAGTATAATTGACAACGACCCTCAAGACCCTACCGCTTAAATGCGTTGCATGTCTAACACTGAGGATCAATTAACGTCTATGGTGAAATACTGAGAATATCAAAAACTGTACGGGATCGACATTTATCATGCTTTCCACATTGCTATACAGCGACATTTTATCACGCGCACGAGAATCAAGGCCATTGATCTTTCGGTAGGCTTCAACGAAGAAATTACGAAATTAAAACTATAAAAGTGGGCCAGCACCACAAATCACAGTTGTTAGGAGTTCCATATCCTTTTTGCGTAATTTATGTACACACTACGTTTACTACGATTTAGTCAAGGCATGGGCGAAAGTAAGCAATAGTGACAAATGCGAAAATACTGACAAGTTTGACTTGGAGCCTAAAATTGGGACGTGAAAATGGTTTTGATATCAATGATTGCCACATGAGGACAATTTTAATAGCAATAGACCTTTTCGTGAAAGATTTCGTCCAGGAAAGTGCCACCTTATCCGTTTCTGCTGCCAAGCAGTAGTGAGACCGTTACTGCGTTCGGTTTTTTTGGTATCGTAAAAAATGAAATGATCTGAGCCAACATTTTTTCCTCCGTCGTCACAATCCTTAATATGTCCCACTGCTGAACACGCAGCCTGCTCTTAGAAGACAGCTTAGGAAATAGTCCGCCATGCTGACACTATTCGAACCGTGGGTTCACACGTTTTCTAGGAGTTGTGAACCTTCTTCGACGTGCAGGTTTTGTCACGATGTTTTCTCTCAAACGTTCTCCCAGTCGTTCTCCCAGTTGCTCTTTCTTGTACAAAGGTTCGTTAGTTTTCCTTCAAACCTTCTCTGTATATTGTGGTTTTTATGACGAACGATAGTACAAATAAAGCTTACCAATTTAGCGACCTCGGTCTTGATAAAAGGTTTGAGAATGGCGTGAATCTTGCCGATGTAGGCGGGTGCATTGATTATGTGTACTTGCTTCAGCCGGATCGGAATGGCTTCCTGGAACCGAAAACAATTAAAGATACTTTAAAAAGAAATTATTCTTAATTATCATTTATTTATAATATTTATTTACTTTTGAAACATGGTGATGACAGATGATATAAAGCGACAACCGAACGGTGACTGGTTACAGGGGCTCTAATCTCCGACATCGGTCCAAAACAATAACTGTGAAATAAGTAATAATACTCGACAAAAATAAATGACGCATGATGCGAATGAAGCTTCATACTTGACATTTGTTGTTTGATTTGGTCGAGTATTACTTATGAGAACGAGTGTAGACCCTAGAAACGAGAGACGTTTTGTAATGAGATGGGTAGACGACATCATCAAAGTAAATGGGTGTGTAAATGGGTGAGATATGTTTTCTTCAGTAAAATTATTTTAAATTGTATATTTACCAGTATATTTGGCAGAATACTAGTAAAAGCCCTTGTAAATTTGTTTTGTAATTATTATTTCTTTGATTTAATCGATGTTAAACTGTTATAGTTTTTAAATTTCCAACCGTTTCTGCTTTGTCATAAAATCTAAAAAAAATGTTTAATTTCGAGGTTTTTCAATAAAGGTTGAGTACGGCTGTACTGAGCTGGTGTTGACAGTTAATTGAATTCCTACTTTATATCTCGTTCATAAGAATTAGGAAATAATTACTTAAATAGAAATTTTATATTCTCCCTTTTCTGTTGCGCTAAATGTGAAGATGTGTGTACTTTCCAGGCGGACTCTGAGGGTCACATTCTAGAACTCTACTCAGTGCTCAAGTCAGGATTTGAGTATGGTTTAAAACACTCGAAATCATACTCAAGTCCCTGCCATTAGGGTCGTATTTCCAGTGCTTGAAATCATACTCAGATCCTGACTTGAGCATTGAGTAGAGTTCTGCGATACGGCCCTGAAAGTCTGATATAATTTATACTCTCAAATTCATATCTATTGCTAGATTTTTTATCACATTTTTTTGTCATATTAATTGCCATTCATACAAATAATATTCCTGGGATATTTGTACAATGCTAACAACTTCGCAGAACTTACTAACATCATAAACAACAACTCAAAGACAAGATATTTCGAGATTTTTACTTAGTTCTCTAAAAAAGAAGCGATCATATTGGAGCGGTATAAGGTACACTTTCGTTTATTGTAACAAAAAAAAAATTATTGCGATAAACAGAAAATAGAAAATTTGTTAAAATTAAGTGAAATAAGACTTAAAAAAAACGAAATACCACTATATCGATAATATTACAAGTGCGACTTATTTTGCACTCCAAAGCAGCTAAATAAGGAATTTTGCTACGATTTTCGAGGTTATTAGACCATAACCTACAAAGCGAATATGGCGGACTGAACGTACGTACCGTATTTATTGTTCTGTGGGCACTGAATGAGGAGGACCCGGTTTCAATTCCCGGAAGGACAAATTTGCTATATTAGTTCTGTGTTATACCCCAGAGTGAATAGTACAGGAAACTCCCATGTTTATGATTAACTAATTATTTTAAAAGGGAGATGATAAACATTATGAACAGAAACCTTTACTGTCAACGTCACTATAAAAAAGGCACGCACCTGTGTATAAAGCATATATTTCCTCAAAACAGAAAGATTGATTTTCCCTATGAACTTCAGTGAAACATTGGCAGAATCGAAGATGGGTATTTCTCCAGCAGGAATGTCGTCGTCTTCAGTCAACCTGGTGTCTGCCAGCATGAAGAAAGTCTTCACGGCATCTATGAAGTGGAACAAGTCCAGATCAGGAGTGTTGAGTCGGTAGATGAAGCATTTGTAATTTTCCTTTGTTTTGTTAGGAAGCGGGATCATATCTCTGAAACAGGAGGCACATACTTTAGTTTTATTATGTTAGTCGGAAAAAAGCTTGACTGCATGCAGGAGGTCCAGATTTGACTACACTATTAAGCACAGACCTACTTAAATATCATTAACTAAATTCTGTGTGTCGGGTTATAAATTATACGATTGTAAGTATAGCTGTAGTGTCCAACCCGAACCCTCATTGGACAATATGGTGGAGAACCAGCGGTATGTGTTGTTATGTGCACCAGTGTAGTACTAACGAGCACCAGAGAAGTGCCTTGTAATGTCCACAATTATAATTTATTATTATATTATTTATCATTTTAATGTTAACCTGTTTAATGAAAAATAAACCATATGAATTACGTAACAATAGTAATTACTTACACTTCATTTCATTATTTGAAAACTTCAAAAATATTAAATGCTATTTAATATCCATAACTGCGAAATATTTCACCCGGCCCGGGAATCGAGCCCGAGACCTCTACGTGGCGGTCCAACGTAGTAACCGTTCGGCCACGGAGGTAGTTAATTTACCGAGGTCAACGATCAAGTTGCTGTGTCGCGACTACTATGTACAACGTCATGTTAACGTACTTAAGCGTTTACATTACCTTTAATGTGTTAGCCACATTGCCCTTTTTTAGGTCAATGTTAGCCACCAAAACGAGACAAATTTAATGTATTTATGCAACAATTAGGACCTCTTGACGTGACATAATTTCTCGGAATAATAAAAAAATACCCGAATAAACCTGCTCAGTTCTCCTCAACTGTTAGTTCTCTTCTTCGGTACACATGGTTTTTGTGTGTTTTTGGCAAACATATTACTTACGTAATTTCAAATACGCGTCGGACCTCCGGCGCCCATGGGTCGCGGTTACAAAACAACTCCGGCGCGGTCGACCTGATGGTGAAAAAGAAGTCAATGGTGCGCTTGGTGCGTTCTAGGCTGTACTTGCAGCTCGACAGGAAACGGCGGAGCAGGATATCCTCTGGAAAGAAAAAGAAAGAACCTAAGACTTGTAAGGAGCTAAATGGAGCTGGATAGGATTTATTGCGAGGGGTTTTAATGACAGATGGTTTAAAGATTTTTATTGATAATTATTATGTTAATTATCGGGTATGTATTTGATAATTATTATCCATGCTGATCCATAGTGTTGCATCTTTAATGTTTGACTAAAACTGAAAAATAATGAGAAAACTGAATAAACATGAAGAAAAATATTTTAAAGATGGAACACTCTCGATCGAAAAAATTCCTTCGATCCGGCCGGATTCGAACCGACGTCTTCTAGCATACCGTCCCAGACGCTATACCAACTAAGCCATGGAACGGACCAGCGGATTCGGAAATATTTAATTTTTTTATTTTGATATTTGACTCATTTGGATACGTCTCTGATGCAAACACGTGGCACAACATTGCTAGTGGTAGGATTTTGTTGTTTCAATTAATTTTATAAATGTCATTTTATAAATAGCAAGATAATTATCATGATAATTATCGATGACAATTATCACTTCGAACTCGGATTTGAAGCGACAGCCGAACGGTGACCAAGAATTATCACAAAAACGTGGAATGTCCTGCATTGAGACAGGTAGATGACTTCGTCAAAGTAGCGAGTCTTAGACGGGTAGGGCATTCCCTAATAAGCATTCACAAATAAGGGAGGCCTATACGCAGTAGTGGATGGATATTAAAACATTGCAAAACTCTGTAACATTGCCGCGAGGACCCTTAATAGCAAATCTGACCCATTCCAATTCTTAATGTGTTTTGTTCCTTTGTTTAATTATTGAATAGTTAGAGTGCATTGTAAAAATGAAAGTGATAGAAAACCGAGGCAATCTTTGTCAATGAAAAGGAAAGTTTACAATATAATTTCTTAACAATAAAGCTTTTACTGCGATCCGGTAATGTGTTTCACTCCCTACATCTTCTATTAAATTGGTATTAAATTTAAAGTATTGTAGAAAGTTTTTGAATTGAAACTCTACGTCGTGTCGTATCGAATAAAGAGAAAGCTCGAACGTTACATAAAGAACTTGACAATTTTGTTAACTTAGGAAGGTAAACAAACTTTAATTAGATATTATAATAATATATCCTAGGCACCCACATCAGTACCTGGTCTCAAATTAGGTAATACGCACTAATGAGTGTTGTTACTTTACGTTTAGGTACATGTATTTTTAACCGATTTCAAAAAAAGGAGAAGGTTCTAATTTCGTCTACATGTTTTTTTTGTACGTATGTTACGCGATAACTTTACTAACTTTGTGAACCGATTTCAAAGATTTTTGTTGGAAAGAGGGTACCTCTGTAGTGGTTCCATTTAAATTTGAAGAAAACATTGAACCTGGATGGCAAACTAAGGGATGAACCCGGTTTCAATAAAACTTGGCAAATAGACGTAATTCCACAAACTAATAAGGTCGTTTTTTTTACAAAAAGTAATAATTGTATTGCACGTACTATTGTAACCGCTATTAGTGTATGTACCTAAATATAAACATTTATAACAATAACGTAGTGTTACGTCTTTCAAAACAACGCGGAACTCTAAATATGCCTCTTTTAAGGGTGGCAAACCGACTTCAATATAACTTGGCAAATAGATGTTAGTCCACGAGAGGTCGGTTTTTTAGTACTCTGTACTGACATTATGCCCCTGTTCTCTGATTATTGACTAAGCCATTGGGAAACGTAGTCAAAGCAACACATTTTAAAAACATTTACAAAACAACAATGTTTTCGTAAGAAACCATTGAAGTCCTAAGAGGCCATTAAACTGAAAGTAACAATTGATTTAAACGTTAAGTTAAAGTTAATTGTTACATTCATACGCCACGAGGCGTTAACTTTAGCTGTTGCCACATCAAACTTAACTGTCGAGAACTATTATGTGTCAACAAACGTAATACTTGCGCGTGTTTTTTTATGATACCAAGTGGCGAGACGAACAAGTCGTGCGCCTGGTGGTAAGTGACACGCCTGTCCATAACAGTTGCAGTACCACTCAGCGCTTTAAATCACAAATATGTGATGGACACTGCCACTGCACCCGTCATCCTGTAACATAAGTTGACAGGTCCCACGCGCCTGTAATTTCACCAACACCCTTACCCTTCAAAACTGAGACACAGCAATGCTCATATTATTGATTGACGGCAGAAGAAGTTGGCAGTAATTCCCTGGACGAGCTCTTTCACTAGGGAGCTCTACTGCTTCTAAGAGCCTATGCACATAGCGTATTTTATACGTGCCGTAAACGCGCGTAATCTGCGCGTATACGCGCCACAGACGCGCTGTAGTGAATCGATTCAAAAGCGAAGCAAGAAGCTTATATAGAATTTCATGTAGTTGCTTCATTTCAAAAATTAACTGAAATCAACAAACAAAACTAAAATTTAAATTATCTCTTATCAAAATGCGCGATACTGTCCGTCTAAGGCGAGTATATAATATAAAATAATAAATACGCCGTTGGCATAGACTCTGAGGTAATGTTATTAATATTGGTTAATTATTATATTATTTTCCACGTAACATCAGAAGATTGTGAGTTTGTAATCTTTCCGCAATTTTACTAATGTATCGGACGCAGACATGGCTCCAGGTGTTTCCACAGATAGTGTTAGCCTATTGTTTGTCTATGTTTATGTAGGTAGTTCACTACTGTACATTGGACTTTAAGAATGTATTGTTGATTTGTTAGGCAAAGAGCGAAGTCACAATGACGTTACTAAAGGGTGACGATCCTATTTCTATATATCGACGTGCAAAAGTTTTTACACAATTATTTTATTAGGTTATAATGTGGTGTACGTATACGTAGCCTTTTTTTTCACGCACAAAGACAAATAATCTATTTTAACGTAACTTAAAGAAAAGCATAAATATGGATTACTCACGAAAAATTGTACAATTCTAATTTTATTTAGCAAATTTAGCAAATGAGACGAGATCTCGCCACAGCCGGCGTAAGTGTTCGTCGTCGTAAGTTGTTGCTTGTTGCGTAAGCCTATTTTCGATTGTACTTGTACATAGTCAATGCAGTCTATTGTAGTTAGCACTTCGTTCGTTGACCTTTTCAAAGTGCTAAATTGAATTCAAAGTAGCTTTTACTTGCGCTGTTGCATGATGAACACCGGGTATGACCAATTTTATGTGACGTATGTATGTAGTGTATGATTTAATGCCGCTCGTAGGCGAGGAGGTACAATTTCAGTGTTTTATGGTAGATGTTTCTATAATGGGTCCCAGGTATTTTGTTTCTACTTTCATCATGCGAACAACCTAGGAGTGGAATTCATTTCCCAACGATAAAACTATGGTACTACTAAAAATACCCGTCCGATGCAAAACGCAGAAGCGGGGTTGGAGAACTTACTAGGTCCTTTACTACACATTGTGTCACATATTTCAACAAAAACTTAAAAGTTGGCTTTTTTACGTTTTGAAATTTATTACGTTTTGTAAAAAGTCATACCGGGCCTCGAGAAATATTTATATGGCCTACATTTATTTCTCTCTTGAATTTGGGTGTAATTTGTGGTTGTCTATGTGTGTGTCCATGACACCCGCGATACAGGGTTTCCCTAGTGCGGGGTTATGAGTCTGTGTCGTCATAACACAAATCTGCGGCATACCTGTTTTGACCTTTCACTAATTAAAGAATTATAATGTAAAGGTCAAGAGAGTTACCAATCAGATGCCGTAACTAATGGTTGGTTTCTTGGCACATTACATATACTATATACTTGCAATAAGAACGGCCCAAATTCCAAAGCGTCAAGTTTGATCTGCTCTTGACTGTACTGAAAAGTAATAAAAGTTAATTGCCGGCAATAAGTACTTTATTATTATTGTCTATTAGTGTAATTCAGGCTTAGGTAGTTGACCTTCATAAAAAACGATCTACTAATTATTACATATATGTGAATAAAAGTAAACAACCTTGAATTTCAAAATAGTTTGTGCATCCGTAATTGCGTGTTACAACTACAATATTATATGAACTTGAATCTAAAAATAGAAAATGAATTACTTATTATTCTCATGATATGAAGTAACGGGACGGGACTGCACGCTTCATGGTAAGATACACGCCTGTCCATAACAGTTACAGTGCCACTCAGAGCTTTAAATTACAAAGATCTGAGGGGCACTACCATTGCGCCCGTCACCCTGAGACAAGTCCCATGTGCCTGTAATTTCACCAAAACGTGCACTAAGAGATCTGTGGGGCATCTGAAGTTTTACTAACATCCTTACCTTTAAAATTGGACCGCAGTAATGGTCACATTACTACTTGGCGGTAGAAATAGGTATGGTGAGAGTGCTTCCCTAGACGAACTCTTTCACAAGGAGCTCTTCTGCTACTATTCAAAGTTTGTCAGTTAAATAAACAACATGACATAACAATTACTAGTAGTAGTAGTAGTCTTTTCATTTAAATTATTATTACCTTTATTAAGATAACATTTATTCAATATTTTACGGTTGGCGAAATATTATTTGCACCAATTCGTATTATCGTTTCATCTTTAGAATACAATAGGACATAATCTCAGTACAGAGTACTAAAAAAACCGACCTCAAAAGTACGTGGAATTACATATAATTACCAAGTTTTAAAGAAAACGGCTACCGGAAAGTGCGCAAATACGGATTCATCCCCTGGTTCGCCACTACACGGAACTTGACACAGGAGATAATAAAAATCGGTTCTCACTACTTGAAATATATGGAGAGAGAAAAACGCCTTGAATTGGAGAATAGCAAAATCAACCATTAAAATAATTGCTCCTTATAATAAAATTTAGGCGCTATTTATAAAAATGAATCTTCATGCGTGAAAAGCCACCCTTAGAGGTGGATGATTTTTTTCAAAATTAAATGGGCGCACTATGGAGGTACCCTCTTACCAACAAAAAAGAATCATCAAAATCGGATCACAAATACAGGAGTTATCACGTAACA